CCAGATTGGAGGCTCCGTCCCGGAGCAGGGCCCACACGGAATGCCGGAACACCTCCACGCTCACCAGGAGCAGCAGGCCTGCGGGAGAGGACAGGGACTCAGGTCTCCCCAAACGCTGGGGGAACACCACAGTCACCAAGGGTCAGGGTGCTGGCAACCAAGGGGACAAAATTGCTTCTGCCCCGGAACTGCACAGCTCGCTTTCCACAGGCACAGGTTCTGACCCGGGGTTTGTAAGGTGACGGGTCAGGAGGTGGGGTCTGGTGGGAGGCCAGGTCCACAGGGCGTGGCCTGAAGGGGTCTGCCTCGCTTCTGGCCTCCAGGACTCGATCACCACCGTCACCATCACCGTCACTGCCATCATCATCACTAACACCAGCATCACATCACCAACATCACCATTGCCACCACCACCACAGGTTGCCACAACTGTCATCCCACTTTTGGGTAATTCCTGTGAGACCTCGATTACCAGCTTAACACTTTCTCGGAGGAGGTCCTCCAGCGTGCACCAGCACTGCTACAGTGTGCACCCTGAACGTGCTTCATGGTACTCTCACCACAATTGTAATTGAACCATTATGTGTGTGACTATCAGCCTTTCTCTCCCAGAATCGAGGAGCCTTGACAGCAGACACAGCGCCTGTCTTATTCAGTCTTGAGTCTCCAGCCTTGATGTGGCCTGGACTATACAGGTGCTCATAAGCACACGAAGGATAAAGAAATGAAGCTTGTATAATTAACGATTTTTCTTTCCACCCCGGATAGGATTTGATTCAACAGAGAAAATAAGACCCAGAAAAAAGAAGAAACTGTCCCAAGGTCACGTATGATCCAGGGCATAGCTTAGGATAAAACCTTGCCACTGGGTCTCCAGCTAAACATTCGTTCCACATAAGGTGCTCTGAGCCTACATGGAACCCACAAGAACATGGTTCCCCAACTGTAGTGCTCACTGCAGCAGAAAGAAGTTAGGTCTGGGGAGACCTGGTTTCAAGTTCCACCTCTGCCAGCACTGGTGGTGTGACTATGAGTACGTCTTCTGACTTTCTGAGTATCAGTATTATCTACAAAACACAGAGAGGCAGGCTCTACCTCAGACCTGCTGTAATGGTTGGTACCAGATATACAGTGAACTGTGGTGTCTGTTATGCTGAGGACTGTTTCACACAAGCTGCAGTATTCTACCTGGGCCTTCAACTCCAAGTGTGCAACAGCCCTAGCGGCTCCCAGGTCCAGGTCACAAAGACTATCTGGAGATACTCTAATTTGACCCCCCCACCTTGAAGTATACAACAGTGCTAGGGACTCCAGGTCCAATCCAAAAAAGTGTTTGGAGAGCAACCAATTCCCAGCCCAAAACAGGGCTTAGAATGCTCTCATTTCTGAAATTTCTACAGTTCTTGAGCTCTCTCCAACCCCTGGCATTCAGCAATGCATGGAGATCCCTTCCTCCATCCTGCGATCCCAAGTCCAAATCTAAAACAGCATTTGGAGACCCTCTAATCCTCAGCCAACAGTGGGGCTTGGAATTCTCTCATCCTTGAGCCTACTGTAGTCCTTGGACTTCTCTCCAACTTCTAGAATGGTGCTTCAGATCTCACCTTCTAGCATGCATGTAGATGTCCCATCTCCCAGCAGGCAGCAGTGCTTGGAGAAGCCATTTGCCAGCATACCACAGTGTAGAGATCCCACCTCCCAGTATGCAACAGGGTGTGGAGATCCCACCTCCCAGCATGCAGCAGGGTGTGGAGATCCCACCTCCCAGGATACAACAGTGTGTAGAGATCCCACCTCCCAGCATGCAACAGGGTGTGGAGATCCCACTTCCCAGCATACAACAGTGTGTAGAGATTTCATATCGTACTATACGATTCCTGGAGATACCAATTCGCAGCATGCAATGTCTTCAGTCTCTAGGTTCTTAGCTCTCACCTGAGAGGCCAAAGCAGACAGCTCCCACTCGGAGCAGGGACTCTGCACCTTTACTGAGCACCATGATGATACAGAGGCAGCCCAAGGCCATGACCACCAGGCCCAGCACTGCTATCACTGCAGCTGCTAGGTTTACCTCTGTGAGGAGAGAGGGGAGAAGCAAAGAACACAGGGTATAGACCAATGGAGGGGACACCACAGGGACCCAGAGCTGGGAAGATGGAAGATTCGGGACTAGGGAATTTTCCAGTAGGTTTTCCAGTCTGTGATGGTTGATCTCTGGTCATCGACTCGACTGGGTTAAGCCCACTGTGGGTGTGCCTGTGAGGCTGTCTCCACAGACGTGGGCACATGGGCCAGAGCAGGAGGCGGCCGGCCCTGCATGTGGCAGCACCGACTGTAGGCAGCAGTCATCGGGATGAAAGCAGAGCATTCCTCCGTGCTCATACCCATTCTGTCTGTCTGTCGTCCCCACCCCGTCCTGCCTCTTTACATGAGTGAGTCACTCTGCTCCGCCAAGTGTCCCCACCATGAGCCCAGAAGCAGTGCAGCCAGGGCCACGGACGGAGATTTGCAAGCTGTGACCTCACCAACCTGCCCTCGTCCATTTGCTTCCCTTGGGTGCCAGGTCACAGTGACAGAACGCTGACTAATTTAGTCTGAGTCTGACTTTCACTGTTGGAGGAACTCGGATGCAGAGAGGATCTGTTTTTTGGCCCAAGCCATGAGGCAGAGTGGGGACAGCCAGGATTAGAAGGTGACAGAGAATTTCCAAGTGTTACTTGTCAACCTGGTCACCATTTGTCTACGAGGTGAGGAAACTGAGGCAGCAGGTGTGTGGCAGGCAGTGGCAAAAGCAGTGTGTGGTGGTGAGATGACTCAGGTGGGAATTCTCTCCAGCTGCTTGCCAGCTGGGGACTCTGAAGTCCCATGTCCCTCTCAGTGTTAGTTTCCTCCTCTGGAAATCGGGGTCATAACCTGCACCTGCTGGGTCATTGTGAAGATGTAAGGTACCTGCAAGGTACCGGGCTCGTGGTGGGTGGTGCCAGTGTGGCCCTGAAGTCTCCTCGTCTCAGACTTGCAGTGGCCCAACCGAGCTCCCACAGCACACAGGGAGAGGAGTAGATGGCCTGCTGTTTCAGCTGCATTCTCAGTAAACCCCTACACCCAGCAGCTAAGATCCCCCTGCCGGTGGGGACATCGAGGCATGGGGCTGGCAGAAACCTGTGCTTTGAGTAGAAAGGGAAAAGTCTTCAGTGTGCCTTGTTATTTAAATATGGCCTTTAAATTTTTAAATTTAAGCCAGGCATGGTAGTGCACACCTGTAATCCCAGCACTCAGTAGGCTGAGGCAGGAGGATTGCCGCAAGTTCAGTGACCATTCTGAGATACATAGCAAGGCCCTGTCTCAAAAAAAAAAAAAAAAACCATAGATAAATCAATTAATTAATTTTAAATTGACTTAAATTCAACAAAAAAGCTTTAAAACTCATTTCCCTGCCACCCCAGCCACGTTCCATGCTCAGGGGCTCCCCAGTCTGCCCAGCTTCCCTCGCACAGGAGAGACTCAGAGACAGACCACGTGGGAGTCAGCCTGGCGATGGAGCCCCAACCCTTTCTGGACGTGCCTTCTCCTCTGGGAAATGGAGGCTGCAGATGGTGCCCGTCCCCACGCTGTGCTTAGCTCCCCCAGTGCCCATCCGAGGCATGAAGCACTGCCCACAGAGGGCCTGACACTTGCCCTGGCCACACAGCAGGCGCAGCGGGCAGAGCTGGGGGCGCAGAGCTGGAGACCAAACTCTGACATCCGGGCAGCCTCAGCCCTGCAAGTCCTCACCTTTCCTTGTGGTTCTCTGGAAGATGCGTGCGTTCTTCCCCGTGGTGAAGAATTTGAAGTAGGTGCAGTTGGCTTCTGTGGGGAAGAGAGAGGAGGGTGGCCGGAGTCCCAGGGCTCAGGGAGCCCGCGGCAGCTGAGGGACACAGGGCCCGGAGCTGCTCGCTCGCCACCTCCTGCCGCACGTGGAGGAGCCAGGGAGCTCTCTGGGTGCCTGATTTTCCATCTTTAAAACGAGGTGATAATCTCTCTCCTGGCTCCCTGGCCTGCGTCTGCCGCGGGAGAAGTGGGATTAGAAGTGGATCATCACTTTACTTAGGAGAGACACGGACCCCGGGAGGCAGAAGACAGAACGGCCTCGGAGGGCGCACAAAGAGCTCCTGCGGATTTGCGGGGCACAGAGGCGCCCAGCAGGACAGCAAAAGGGCCCGCGCGGTCTCCTCACAGGAGGACGCCAGGGCCGTACAAGTGTACGGAGAGAGGCGCTGCACCGCGGGGATCAGAGAGGGGGAGCTCGAGTCTGAGTCGGCTGGCAGGAGCCCCGCGTGCATTAGACGGGAAGTGAAAAGGGCAGATCGAGCGTCGGGTGAGAGCCCGCGCCCTGGCAGGACGGACGTCGCGCTTAGGAATGAAGTGCAGGTGCGCGCTGCCTCCCGATGGGGTGGGCAAGGACGGTCCACAGTCTGAGGAAGGTGGCTGAAGATGGGGTCACCCAGAGACCTGCCTGCACTCGGGCTGCAGCAGGACCCCTCGGTGCTCTCACTGGGGTGAAATCACCCGCGCCTGGCTCAACCCCGGTCCCATCACTGGGAGATAGGACAGGATGTCACAGGCCCCGCAATGTCGTTTCTGGGTATACAGCCCCCCAACAGCTGCCCAGGAGCTCAGGAGCACTGCAGCACTCTTTATAAATAACAAGGAGTGGGGAGCCTTTCGTGGTGGTGCATGCTTGGGATCCCAGCACTCAAGAGGCTGAGGCAGGAGGATTGCTCTGAGTTTGAGGCTGGCCTGAGCTACATAGTGAGGCCCTGTCTCAAAAAACAACTCAGGTGTCTACCTGCCCTTGACCAGACAGGTAAAGGATGATAGCCCCTAAGGAAATCTCTTCAAACCTAAAGGATAACAGAGCAGAGTGGAGAGATCTAGAAGCAGTGTGGAGTGGGGGAAATTAGATTAAAAACTAAAGACAGAAAAAAATCTAGAGCATTCATCTCACATGTGCAAATTCCAACATGAAGACCTGTCACGTAACTAACACTACATGTGTGTGCCAAGTGCATGAGAGAGTGTGGTCAGGAGCCGGGCGTGGTGGCGCCTGCCTGTAATCTCCATGCTGAGGAGGCAGAGGCAGGAAGATCGCTGTGAGTTTGAGGCCAGCCTGAACTACATAGCAAGACCCTGTCTCAAGAAAACAGAGAGAGAGAGAGAGGAAGAGAGCATTTTGGTGACGTCAATATAGGAGGACCGTGCATTAAACTTTGTGTACATTCATTGCACACAACCTACTTTCAAAGGGGCACCTTTCTGAACTGCATTTTGGAGCTGGAACTTCCCTCCAGATCCACCTGGTCTGACCCACACTCCTATTCCACAGATGGGGAGACTGAGGCCAGAAAGGAGAGACGGCGGAGAAGGGAGAAGGGGCAAGGCGTGCAGTTCTCCGTGTGGCCACCGGCGGGGAGCAGTCGTCACACTGTGAAAGGGGGCATCCCCCGGGGGCACAGCCTGCTGGGCACCCTGCTCTGGCCGCCGGGGACCTCGTGTCTCTTGGTCCCCAGAGGAGATGGTGCAACCCACTCCGGGACCAGCATGAGTCAGCCCTGTGGCTAAGAGAAAGAGAAATCGGAGCCGCCTGGTCTCGAGGCGTGGACTGTTTCTGAGACACTGCCCGGGAGGCGCGGTCTGCGGGGCAGGGTGACAGGACGATGAAGCCCGCCCTGTCCTTTCTGGCCAGAAGGGGCCCAGGCAGGAGGCGGGATCCGATGCCTCTCAAAGTAGAAGACCAAGTCCTACTGTGTAACTAGCCCAGCCGGGGGCACAGACCGAGCCCCTGGGGTCTCTTGCTCCCCACTTTTCTGGGGAGCGGGTGGGGTAACGCTCTCAGAGCTGCTCTGGAGAGAACTCGGAACAGAGCTGCCCTACGTGAGCTTCTCAGGTCTCTCATGTCAGAGTCTCACAGGCCAAAGCCGGCTCCCCCTGCCTGAGACCAGGGGACAGCACAGGCGGGAGAGGGCAGAAGATAGTGGCTGTGGCCAAACTTGGGGCTCACATGCCCTTCTCTGCTTTCGGGGACTGGGGACATCCTGCTTCGGACCCGAGGGCTATAGAAACCACACTGGGGAAGCAGGGGTAGGGGAGGAGCCCGGTGGCCGACGCCCCGTGAGGGGTGCTGAGATCGCGGGGCCTGGGAGCGCAGAGGTGGAACAGGTGCCCCCGGGGCCTCCAGGGGCACCCGTGCGTCCCGCCAGCCCCTCAGGGTGCAGAGTCCCATGGTGTGGGCCGAGGGCACGGCCAGGAGTGAGGCACAGCCCCTGGCACAGCCAGTGCACAAAGCACAGCCTCGGACCGCGGGGCTCCGTGTGCAGCTGGGCACTTAGAGGGAGATGGACAGGAAATGCAGAGCGTGGCCACGTCCCTGGCAGGACCCACAGAGGGACAGCGGCACGATTCTGCTCTGGGCTGGGGTGTAGGTTGCCCGCCCCCAGGGTGCCCACACTTAGGGGGCAAAGGCCTTCGGGTTCATAGACAGAACCATGCCTGAGTTTTCTAGGGACACAGGTGGCTTCTGAGGGCTCCGTGTGCACAGGCTGCAGCGGGCCGGGCCTCCAGGGCACTGGCTCACTTGGGGCGGGTGTTCTCGGTCAGCCCGCGCAGGGCAGCCGCTCACCTCCGGGCAGCTCAGCGGGGCCGCAGGTGTCCCTCTCCGCCGGAACGTCCGCCTGCCACAGTCGCTTGGTGCACAGCTTCCACAGCCCCAGGTGGGCAGCCTCGCAGACCGCGCTGCCGTTGGCCTTGTAGGTGTTGAGCTCCACCCAGAACTCGGTGC